CGTCAAAGCTGGGTTAGCGCAAGCAAAGAGACGGTAGCTGCAGAGAAGAAGCAAAATAGGAGTATGATTCCTGGGTTTTCTTTTCTTCTCTTAACTAAGGGACTGTAATTACTAGTGGACCAACAAGGTAGTGGCTCAGAGGCCACTGGAAGCAATCTTCAGTCGCCAGATGAGCATCACTTATCTGCTCATGTGTGGAAGCAGCATGAGTCAGAAGGAAGCACAGGAATGCCTATAGAGCCTGTAGTGTGTGTGTGTGTGTGTGTGTGTGTGTGTGTGTGTGTGTGTGTGTGTGTGTGTGTGTGTGTGTGTGTGTGTGTGTGTGTGTGTGCGCGCGCGCATGCGCTTAATACTTGCTCAGCTTCTCCAAGTAAAGCCTGAAAATCCCATCTGAATTTCTTATTAAGTACAACAGGAGATTCATAGCTTTCACTAGCTGGAAGGCAAACAGCAGAAGATTTGATCTGATGGGCTTTCCTCACCAGGAAACCAACATGTGAATCAGCTCTTAAATACAATAGAAAGCTGTTGACCCATTTCATTCAGTGTCAAAGGAGATCTTATTGGGAACTCTCTGTGCTGCTAGCATGCATCTTGCATAACAAAGGTATTGGTGTTGTTGTCCTGTAGTCTGGTGCAGCAAAACCAGTAAATAGTCTCCCAGCATCTTAAAGGCTAACCAGTTTTATTTGGCAGTATGCATCTGTGAAGTAGTGGGCAGCAAAAGCTTATGCAGAATAAAACTTGCTAGCTGTTCAAGTGCTGTGTAACTCTTCCTTGTTTTTTGTTGCAACATTATGATCTGGCATTTATCTTACAAAAAGTAGGGCAAGCTGTTGAACTGCCATTAAAATAAGGCAGAAAGTGTTAGCTTTGCTGGATTCCACTTCCCCACAGCACCTGGAAAGGGAAGCTAGAAAAGGCATCCAATAAGCTGGCCATTGATGTGGGTGCAAAGTAAATGTATTGCCCCTCTTATTAAATTCTGCTACTCCAACAATACCTGTTTACTGGGCTTCATTTCAGCTTGTCCAGTATTATCTAGGAATCCTTCCCCTGAACCCACTGCTTCTCTTGAATTTGTTCCTAATCATGTCTGTTTGCCTCTGTCATGCTCTTTAAGAGCTGGAACCTATATTGTTTCTGTCCTGCACCTGATTCCAGGATTTCTGTCCTGAGCTCAGTGTTAGTAAAATGAACTCTCGAGGGCCTGATTCTGTACATGTATCTCACACGTTAGCTCCCCCTTTGTGTGCCTGGATTTGCAGTGGTGGAGACAGTGTTTCCATTCCCTCCATGTGACTTTTTGGGGAGGGAGAGGAACTGATTAATGTGTAGTTCTTAGGTTAGCATGCAGATGTCCAGCAGAGCAAAATACATTCATTGATGGCCAGTGCTGGATAAATTCTTAGCTTCTTCTGGGAGAAATGGCATCTGGCAAAATGGTGCCCTCTGACTCTGCAATTTGCTAATCAGCACTCCCTGCAGCTGGGGGAAAGAAAGTTCATTGCTCCTCGCTGTCAACAGCTGCAGCTGGGGTGATCACTCATTTTCACTCCTTTGCCACTTGCCATTATTCTAGCTGTGTGCTGACCCTTGACCTGAACATATTGCTGTGGTCAAATATGCAGGAAGCCTTCCTGAGTTACAGAATATCATCTCGGTTCTCCTGCTAGAATGGGAATTAATATAGTCACAGTTATACACTGGCCATGACCCACAGAACTTGACCAAAGCATAATACAGTATCTAACCCCACACACACCTTCCAATAACAAAGAAGAAAAAGCACAGGTTAATAGTATGTGGGAATGACTTGGGAACCCCCTAAATACATGGTATTGAATGGTATGTTAACAGACTGAATACCATACGGCATAGGACTTATTTTATCACCCAGAAACCTTGAAAATTCCAGATTCCACTGTGGCTGGTACTGGTAGAAGCAGAGAGTAGACTATGTGTCTAGATGGGTGGGGTATAAATCTAATAAAATGAATGAATGAATGAATGAATGAATGAATGAATGAATGAATGAATGAATGAATGAATGAATGAATGAATGAATGAATGAATGAATGAAGTAACAGGCTAAACCATGGCTTATTTCTATGGGGAAAGACTACAAGGATCTTTCCTCTGATAGCATCAAACTGTAATTTTATAGCATGTGAGGGGGAAATGTTAAGAAAAAGTCCTGCCTCTTTCCTTATGAAATCCATTTACTGCCCATTTTGGAACCAGGAACATTGCTCAAGACTTGTGCATCATCTCGTCTCCTGTCCTGTCCTCTTCAAATGGCATCACAGGGATATCACTCACTTCCACTTTCCTGCTAAGCACATTTCCTTGTTACATCCGGACTAAGAGGCAGGAGCCATTCTGGCTAGTTTAAACCATTGTTTGTTAGCATGTTACAATCGTATACCACATTTTGATCCTAGCCTGTTTGAATGAAACAGTTCATCTAAGTGCCCCCTTGGTTCCATAACAACAAAGAAATTTCCTTAGTTTAAGCTCTAGTTTGTTCAGGCATGTGAAATGGGCTATATGAAAGGTTTGCTCTGTTGTTTCTGCATGTTATAACCTCCAAATTGCTCTTGCATACATGCAGAAGAACCTGCATCTCCTGGATCTGGATCATAAAGTGTGATGATGCCATGGGAAGAAGAATGGAAAAAGGGATTCAGGGAGGGGCAGCTTGCGGACTGGATTCAGGGTGAAGGCGCTTCATCTCTAGATTGGGAGGAGGAAAAAGAATCCTGAAGGTAGCTTTGGAAGCTGATTTTATGTGAGAGGCCACAGGTTCCCCATCCCTTACTTAGATCTTGAAGCCAGCTGACTGCTGAAACTGGCCATGTCTTAGTAAAAGACATCACTGTCGAAAAATGAGCCACTGCTGCCCACTGAAAGATGGTGCTATTTGTGACCAAATCACTTGGGTCACTTTCTTCAGGCTTTGCTCTGACAGTTTGGTAAGACATTCATTTGCTTCCCATGAGCCAAGGCTATTTCCATCCTGTTTCCTGGACTAATTACAGGAGTCATAGCTTTCCAGATGCATCTTCCTGCTTATCTGAAGAGCTGAGCGGAGGCCTGTTGAAGAAAGGCTAAATGGCTTTTTTAGAGCTTTCCGTGAGATGAGGAGGAGGAGAAGGAGGAAGGAAGGAACCTCAGTCAAGTTCTATAAATATTGTCAAGGAAACTGTATCGGTGAAGGAAGGGAATTCGTCACTGCCTCTGTAACTATGGCCCCAAGCCAAGGAAGGGAGGGGTGGATTTAGGAGATAAAACTTTTCTATGCAAGAAGGGAGTGGGTGGGAAGGAATGCTCAGAGAGACCCCATCAGAGCAGCATGGTACCCTTTTCAATGTGTATGTAAACACTAAGTGAAATTCCAGAACCATGATAGTGAGGTTGTCAGGGTCGTAATGTGCTTGATTGTTGGCAAGCATGCAAATTCTGACATGATCTTATCTTCCTAAATGTAATTTCTATCAGAGTCTGTAGGATGTTTTCAAGGAGTGAGAATATGGAAGGTTGAGTGCTTATGAACGAAAAGCAGGTCTCTGGGGAAACACATCCAGAAGATTTTCCTTCTCAATACAGAAAGATGAACCTGTCGCCTGCAGTTTATGGGGGACGGTTACAAGAGTTTCATTGAGAGGCCTCCCTGGTGATTTTGACATGTGATCTTTGAGGCCAGGACCTTATTTGAGTTCTATTTTGCATCAAAAATGTATCACATTGTACAAGCTGAGAATCGATTGCTGTAAGGATTATCTGGAGGATAGTTTGAAGTTACACTATTCATTTAGGGGCTGGTGCACACATGCATCTACCTTGTTCAGTGTGTCTACCATGTTCACTGCCTCATCATTCAGTTACTTACATGGAACTGGGTGGAAAATATTTGGATGGGCCAAAATCTCTGTATTTGATAAGGATTTCCCAGGGCAGTAAGGGTCATCTCCTGAGGCACCACAACAGAAAAGGCCCTTTTCTGTGTCCCAAACTCAGATCAGAGGTTGGAAAAAACAACCTTCAAGTTCCAAGTAATTACTAGTTACCTGTAATTAGTTAATTATGGAGGAGTAACAATGACATAACAAAAGTAATATAACATGTAGATGCAACGTCATTTTAAATGCATTTTAGGCACTTTGACAGGAACTTTTCAGATGTTACACTAGTCTCTCATAAGATTTATTATTTAAAACTAATGAAAATTAACCAAAGGTAACAAACAATGCTATAATTTTGTTAGAATGTAACAACAGGTAGTAATAAATAACTTCTTAAACACTGGGAACAGATTAATTTTAAAAAGCAACTTTCTGTGCTCTGCCTTGGACAGAAGTGGAATGCACAAAAAGGTCTCTTGAGCTCACCTAAGTAGATAGGACTGTCTAAGAGAACATGATCTTTTTGTTGTCCTTCTTGGTTAGAAGAGTACCAAGTACAAACAACAACTGCACAGAGGAAGCATAAGAGAATAGCTCAAGCTTCAGAACCAGCCCTCTTCACAGTAGCTAGCATTTTATATATTAAAAATCATTCTGGAAGCATTTTAATGAGAAAAAGAAAAAAATATTTACTTAGAGTTGTGATCAGTAGTTACGAACAGAAGAATAAGAGCAAGACTGCAGTCTCCACATGCAGGAGAAACTACCTCCATGATTGCATGGTCAAGAAGATCAGGAGCAGAAAGAACAAGCAGGACAAGCGGGAGGTCTTGAAGGTTGAGCCACCACTAGCTCTAAGTATCCTGGCATCAAGCTGTGTATAACATTAAACCTAATTCTTCCTAAACCACCATATTTAGAAAAGGCAATTAGAACCAACCCACAGTTGATGATTATGCATTGTTCGGGAGTGAACAGGAAATGGTGCAAGAAATCTGGGCAGAAGGTCAACTTCACTAAAATTGAAGATGATAGAAACATGATATTAATAGTAATGTTAACTTTTTTCTCTCCCTTCCCACCACTGCTCTCCAGGATGGGAGCATTTACATTGCACTCAAAAACTGGGAAGCCCATGCCATCTGTCTCCAATGGGTGAGTCATGCTGACAACTTCTTATACTTCTATCCTATACATCATCCTAAAACTTCTCTCCATAGGTTAGCTTGAAGGTATGCATTGAGGAATCAAGAGTTGAGGTCTTATGCTTCCATCCTATACATCATCCTAAAGGTATGCATTGAGGAATCAAGAGTTGAGGGCAGGCCGCTGGGAGAACACTGCTGATTTTATTACTGGTCTGGCATATTTCACCCACATTTCAATACAATGTGTGCATTTTATCTTGCCAAATGATGATCATTATTATCATCTTTGAGCTGCAATGCTGGAAGTGACCTTATGGATCATTAAGTCCAGTCTCTGTCAAGGAGGCCCAGCGGCAATTTGAACTCCCAGCCTCTGGTTCTGCAGCCATTATCATCTTTGAACTGCAATGCTGGAAGTGACCCTATGGATCATCAAGTCCAGTCCCTGTCAAGGAGGCCCAGCGGCAATTTGAACTCCCAGCCTCTGGTTCTGCAGCCAGATACCTAACTCACTGAGCTATATAGCAACTCATGGCATTTTCATATCCATTCACTTAGGATATATTCTGTATATTCCTTTGAGGCCGATAATGATATAGATAGTATACTGGAGTTGTGCTTTAGTTTGTCGGATTAGATTTAATATGCATTCACTTCCAAGAAGATCCTAGAACTGCATCCTAGCTGGCATATGCACTGCAATTGAGATGTGATTATCTCTACCTGTTCCTAGCACTTCTTTTCATGGAAAAACTGCTGAGTAGTTCTTATGTCATTCAGTCTTAAACCAAGCTAGTGTTTGTGTTTTTTAATAAAAAGAAAGGAAGACTGGCTATGCTATCAGGAAAAAGCTGACTAGTTAACTTAGTGAATTAGGTATCTGGGTGTGGAGCCAGAGGTTAGGAGTTCGATTCTCCACTGTGCTTCCTGGGAGAAGGGCCAGTCAGTGTGGCTTTAGGCAAACTGCACAGTCCCAGGTTACCCCCAGAAGAAGGGCATGGTAAACCATTTCTGAGTATTCTCTACCTAGAAAACCCTGAAGGGTTGCCCTAAGTCAGAATTGACTCAATGGCACACAGTTATTATAGTATTTTTGTTACATGCCGGAGAGATTCAAAAATATTTGGATAAATAGTTGGCTGTGCAGAAACAGAGCAGAGGATTGAAATAATCAGGAGGTTTGACCATCTCATGTTCTTATAATTAGTATATTTTGGGCATTCAGCAACACTGATAATATCTTCTCCCAAGATGATTCATATCTCAATCTTATATATATCTACTTAAAAATATGTTCTTAAGCAAAATCCTCTTCATTCTTTCTGTTTGTGCAGTGACCCACTGAATGAGCAATTAGACTCTTTTGGTGCCTGTGCAGTGGGATATTCGCAAGCCATGTGCAGAAGCAGAGCCTCTGCTTGCATGTTGGCCAGTTGGAGATCACACGGGCTCTTTGCTCTGCCTCCTCTGAGCATGGTACTGGCTGTTGAATTCTATGAGCATAGGACACCAGCCCACATAACCCACCTATCCTGCATGCTATTGGGTGCTTTAAAAAGAAGAAGAAATCAGTTTAGACTGGACTTGGGCAAATAAGTAGCGCTTTCTTTTGTCACTGCCACAGTCTAGAACTTTATGCTGTACTCATTCCATTCCATAAATAGATTGAGTGGTGGTCTTCAAAATCTCAGTTTGCACTCCTGGCAAATGATTTGTTCTAATTAGGCAAAGTTCATGCTCTTACAAACCTTTCTGATTCCATATGCAAATCTCTGGAGGGAGATCAGATTGTAAAGGAGTGAAGTCATGATGTTTCGGTCTTGGTCCACAAAGGGGATTGTTTGAACAGAGCTAAGGAGATGGGTTTTTATCCACTACAGTTTTTTTTCTTGAATCTGATTTTTATTGGCTAAGTCTGCCATGTACCATTCTTTCAGCCCCTCAGAATTTGCTCTTCCCTAAATTGCTAGAAAACTGAAATCATAGTTCAGGTAATAACTTTGACTTGGCATGCAGACTTTAGCAATATAAGATTTCTGTCCTGGAAAGGTCACGTCAGTTGCTTCTGACATACTCCTAATTACCAAGCTTTATAGAACAAACAGACGTGTAATATAATTTGCAGTATGAATTTAGTTTGAACCATGCTTTAACTAGCAGGGTCTCCTGTGATTATAGGAAAGAATTACCAAAGTGAACCAAAAATGTTTTGTCCAACAATACTGTTGGTTAAAAAAAGAGAAGAAATCAAAAAATGAAAGTACTGTCTCCCCCTTTTGGTTATGCTCCAAGGTGAGCTGTGTTTCTCAGTGTCCTTCCTTAATGCTCTCTCAAAGTAAGTATTTCAGCTCATCAGTCTGTGTTACACAGTTCCAGCAATTTGAAATCACTTTAACTGCTATGGCTGCATCCCAAGTCATTCCGGGATCTGAAGTCTAGTGAGGTATTTAGAATTCACTGCTGTAGGCTAGGGGAGTGGACTTGAACTCTCTAGCAGAAAACTCTAACCATCTCACCAAACTATGAACCCCAGCATTCCCTAAGGTGTAGCCATAGCTGTTAAAATGATTTCAAACCATTATAACCATGTAGTGCAGTCAGAATCCATAGTTTGAATTCAGTTGGTGGTCCAGCGCTTGCTAGCTTCGTGGGGCAAGGGTCTCTTGGTTCCTCCTGTATTCTGCCACCTTATTTAACTAAACATATTTTTAATTTTTGCTTATTTTAAATGGTTTCATGTGTCATCCTTCAGCACAATTTCCAGCAGAGTAAGATAACTACACACACAAACAGATGCATACAACCCTAATAAGAAATAAAAACAGACAAGAATCAAAGAGATTAAACAGCAGCAGAATTACAGCCCCATTATATATAACACTTACTGTTTGTTTCAGATTGATGTTAAAGATAAGTCCCAAGTCTTTAAAAAAAAAAAAAGGAGAAACTCCTGTTGTTTTAAATGGTTTCATGTGTCATCCTTCAGCACAATTTCCAGCAGAGTAAGATAACTACACACACAAACAGATGCATACAACCCTAATAATAAATAAAAACAGACAAGAATCAAAGAGATTAAACAGCAGCAGAATTACAGCCCCATTATATATATCACTTACTGTAGATGCACATTGTTTGTTTCAGATTGATGTTAAAGATAAGTCCCAAGTCTAAAAAAAAAAAGGAGAAACTCCTGTTGTAGCACATAAAATATTTATTTCTACTGCTGGAAACTCAGGTATTGTATTGAGTGGCCTTTAGTAAGAGATTCCTTTTTGGGCCAAATTATTCACCAGAAAGTGCAGCTGACACTTTGAAGGCATTAGAGAATGAAGATGGTGACAGTGGGTAAAAATGCATACGTACATGTATGTACACAGTACTGGGACTGGGCTCAGTCACACCAACCAAGCTTTCTCTTTCCTCCATCTCTTCATCAATTGCTAAAACATTTTCTTTCTTCTTATAGAGGAATTCCAGGGAAGAAGTGTGGCACCATCATCCTGTCAGCTGAGGAACTGGGCAACTGCCGAGTGAGTCATTCTCTGCTCTTTAAGCTTCTGGTTGGGTAATTTCTCAAAAACAGGGAGGGAAGCCCCAATCTGACGGTATTGTGAGTTCAGACACTTAAAGTGTTCTCGAGGAACATTCGACAATACAGTAGCCTCCATCTACATAATTTTTTCTATATCAGCCACAGCCAGTACAGCCAATGGTAGGGAATTATGGGATTTGTAGCCCAAAACAGCCAGAGGGTACCATATCTAGGAAAGGTGCCACACAGAACATTGTCCTCTCTGAGCTCTGTTCACCTGTGTGCTATATCAGGGTCAGCTGCATAATTTTGCAGAGCCTGCTGAGATACTTGTCTCTTCGAGGAACACTCGACAATACAGTAGCCTCCACCTACATAATTTTTTCTACAGCTCCCATCAGCCACAGTCAGTACAGCCAATGGTAGGGAATTATGGAATTTGTAGCCGAAAACAGCCAGAGGGTGTCATATCCAGGAAAGGTGCCACACAGAACGTTGTCCTCTCTGAGCTCTGTTCACCTGTGTGCTATATCAGGGTCAGCTGCATAATTTTGCAGAGCCTGCTGAGATACTTGTCTCTCTAGACCCTGTTTTTATGGGATTAGGACCCACAGGCCAAGCAGGTGCACCATTAGGTGTTCCACCCCACTGCTGTCTCATTTAAATCTTCTCCCTGTGAGTGCTGCAGGCCCATAACATGGCAATGTTAGCACCTCAAAGACCTCTGGGCCTTGGAGGTATGACTACAGATTTTAAGAGCTCTCCGTCATAATTTTTTTGGCCTTTTCCCCCAACCCACCTGCAGTCTCATTCCAGGGTTCACAGTAGATATCTCATAAGATAATTCATGCTTCATTTTTTTCATTTGAAGGATGTTAGGAAATAGAGATTTTAGGACATGTTGTGCATGTAGTCCATTTTGTGCATGTTCTCCTCTTGTTTTTCCATTGAAATATATTTGTGCATCTTTTCATAAAGTGTACCTTGTTTCACCAAGTTACCCAGACTTACCCAGACTTATTTGGCTTGTTACCCAAATAAAAAAGTGATGACAAACCTAGAAAGCATCTTAAAAAGCAGAGACATCACCTTGCCGACAAAGGTCCACATAGTCAAAGCTAGGGTTTTTCCTGTAGTGATGGATGGAAGTGAGAGCAAAGAAAGCTCACAGCTGAAGAATTGATGCTTTTGAATTGAGGTGCTGGAGGAGACTCTTGAGAGTCCTCTGGGCTGCAAGGAGAACAAATCTCTCCATTCTGAAGGAAATCAAGTGCTCACTGGAAGGACAGATCCTGAAGCTGAGGCTCCAATACTTTGGCCATCTTATGAGAAGAGAAATCTCCCTGGAAAAGCCCCTGATGTTAGGAAAGTGTGAAGGCAAGAGGAGAAGGAGACAGCACAGGACGAGATGGTTGGACAGTGTCATCAAATGAATTTGAACCAACTTCAGGAGGCAGTGGAAGACAGGAGGGCCTGGCATGCTCTGGTCCATGGGGTCACGAAGAGACGGACACGACTAAACAATTAAACAACAACAACAATCTTGTTTCACAACAAGGTGCAAAATGGATACTTCCCTTTAGAATTGCAAGCTCAATGGTTTAAGCCATGCAAATACACCACCACCACCACCACCACCACCCTCATGCCAGCATACTGATTCTGTATGTGATGGACTGGTGCCTATCATAAGAACATGGACGTGAGAGAGGGGGCACAAGGAATATTGATGGGGCAAATGCTATGCCCATGTCCAGCTTACCATTGAACCTTGTGGGATATGTCAGGAAGAAACCACTTGTTGTAACAGCTGAACGATCTGTTCAGCGAAGCCTCAGCAGAGACTAGAATAATTGTAATGCAGGGAAACAAATGGTGAAGCTCCAGAGAGTCATAAGGTTGTAATGAGAGGTGCCGTTCTCTTTGGTTCTTTGTTGCTCTGGAGAGAAGGTAATCCAATGTAAGCCTCAGTATCTACAGTACAACAGATGCTGGCCAAACGGCCCCATTAAGAGCTCTTGGGGCTCAAATTGAGATTACAGCTGTCATCAGTGGCTGAAAGGTGGTCACAGCTGGAAGAGTTCAGCTTTGTGCTAGAGGACAAACAGGGACAGCCACCAAGAACTGATGAGCACGAGTGCAAAAACTGACTGTACAGAGAGTTAAGTTTGATGCTTAAACTTTAAGGAATGTGGTGTCTGGCTGGAGGCAGAACATCTGTCAATGCATGGTTAGGGCTCAGCAGATGGGTCTCCCATATTAAAGTAGTATTACAAATGTTTCTCTACAAACCTTTGGGGGTTCCCTCCAGCTTAATGTTATCCATCCTGATCTCTCAGATACACACCCATTGCTGGCCTCATGGGGCACATGTGGATATTAATACTATTACAAAGTTCAGCATTCATAACAAAAAGGCACATGCCCAACAATCCTTCCTTTGCATATGCATGTTGCTAGCCTCTGCTTTTAGGCAAGTATCTGGTACTTGGTCAAGGAAAGCTGCTTGTTACCCAAATAAGAAGTTAACTACAGGTAACTATATTGCTGTGTAACTCAATAGTGTATATTCAAGTTCTAGGAAAACCAGGCTTTTTCCAGAGGAAAAGCCCAGAGCACCTAGGCTGAAGCTCTTCCAAATATTGCCAATTATGAATGAGGGTTAGGGAACAGGGAGAGGCAGAAGGCGAAGACTTGTGCCAAGCAACTGGCAAGTATGTCTGGGTGAAACCAATCATCCGGCATCAGTCCCTCACCAGAGGCTTTGAATCTCTCCATTGCCACAAGCAGCTTGCTGCTGACACCATGTAGAAAAGAACAGGGTAGTTGGTGCATATTTTTCAAGAGAACACAAGCCTGTCTAGACACCAGTGAAGGTAGACTCTTCCATTCTTATTTCTCTCACACATAGAGAAATGGACACAAACAGTGTCACTGCTATTTTGCTTGGCTCCTCTCGCCTACATTTCTGACGTCAGTTGGGAGGGGAACCTAATTTTTCTCCTACACAGACTACTACAGTTCGTTCCCCCTCATACTTACATTAGCTTCCCACAGCTGGCAATTGTTTACAGGTCAACTCTTTTCTCACATGTGCCTGCCATCCACATGCCTGCCTTTTTATTCCCACAGAGAATTGTGTCAAGGGATACCCTTACTTAATTAATTAGGCATCCTTCAGTCTCGAAAGACTGTGGTGACGTGCTCTGTATGGAGGACTTGGAACAGCGTCTAGTGTGGCTGAGGAGGCCAATTCGAGAGTGACAATCTCTTCCACACTGAAGACAAATCCAATCTGTCCCCTGTCCAGCTTCCTGGTTTTGCTGCTTTTGTGACTTCCTCTTTGCCTCGGCCTGCTGGACAAGGGTCTCTTCAAATTGGGAGAGGCTGTGATGTACTGCCTGCCTCCAGGCTGAACGGTCAGATGTCAGGGTTTCCCATCTGTTGAGGTCTATTCCTAAGGCCTTCAGATCCCGCTTGCAGATATCCTTGTATCGCAGCTGTGGGCTCCCTCTGGGGCGATTTCCCTGCTCTAATTCTCCATACAGGAGATCCTTTGGAATCCGACCATCAGCCATTCTCACGACGTGCCCAAGCCAACGTAGACGTCGCTGTTTCAGTTTTACTACTCACCTTTAAACCACATACACAAATTATACTTTTTAAATACTTTCTTTCTCTTCTCCTTTTCCATGTATACACATACAACATTTTACTAGACAAAATGTGTGTTGGACACCCTCCCATTTGCTTGTAAGCATACAGCACATACACTCCCTTGGTTCACTGGACACAGACTGTCTGGTTAGTGTACACTGCTTCTGGCACTAATCTCTGTTCAGGATTTCAGGGTGCACTTGAATGCATTCAATGCAGCCCACCATCTGTTGTGCTGTGAAGAGAATTTAACACCCATTTGTGTCTGAATGGACAGAGACACAAGCAATTAGCTGTACATGGACAGTTTTGCGGCCCGTACTAGAAGTTGGCTTACCTCCTTGTGCTGAGGATGCCTGGGAATGGACAGTCAAGGGTCAAGAGTGCATCTTTCCATTTCAGTGCCATTGCTCCTTGGCAATTGCTGTCTCACTTCACAGTCACTCCAGGAAATTCACACAGCATTGTCATGATTTGGAAATGGTAACATGGCAAGAAAGCCACATGCTCAACATGTACACCTGCATGGTGAGCAGAACAGTTGTGTGACATTGACCATAAAGCAAAATAAGCACATGCTTAGGGCATCAACAAAGGAGGCACTGCAGAGTGCTTTTTCAGTGCTGGATTTGCCATGGACCATGGTGCAAATGGTGCACTCTCCTTAAAAACGTCCATCCATCCAAATCCCTTGGCTCTCACCCTCCCTCCTGAAAGAGCTCCGAGAAAACCACCTCCCTACCAAAAGCAATTGAGCATGAACCAGTAAAAACTAAGAAGAATAAAGACTTGCCTAGAGAGAAAACTCATGTTTTGAGTGAAATGATCAGTCATCACCATCATTGGTTGGTGTGGTTTTTTTAATTTTATTTTTACTTCTGTATTTTGGAAGGCTGGGTGTGGATAAGGATAAAAAGAGCTGCTGGGCCTATTAGACGTTTGGTCTGTGCACTATACGTGCAAGCCAAAGAAATAACAACCGCTGTTAATAACTCCCCAAAAAGAAGTTTAAGCTTTTGTTTGAGCTTTTCAGTTTACAGATTCTGACAAAATCTGTTTACATTAATCAAAGTGTGAAAGGACAAATTTAGCTGGAAGCCGACAATTTGATTGTACGTCTGATTTTGTATACATTATGTGGTTCTTTATTGCCACATGCTATACAATATAATTACTGTATTTTCATGCATACAATGTGTGTGCTATCCCTTTTTTCAAGCTGTGGGACCCACTGCATGTTATATTCATAAGGGTACTATAATCTTTTCAGTGCTTTGGGCCTCTAAAGATCTTAATCTGGCCCTAGGGCTAGCCCAGCTATTAGAGAGAGGGGGACAGTTG